AACAGAATTAGCGTATCTACTGTGTCTCTATTAATAACGATTTTATGTGCAAATTATGCTACGAGTACTCTTTGGCTCTCAAAGCAAACGTAAGATGTCTTAAATTGTGAATTATTTCAAACCACTTTTCTTGCCTATTATTCTCGTTTGAAATCCTATTTCAGTCGGTATAATTGTCTCATTTTAGGAGTGTTTAAAAAGATACATATTTATTCTGACTTTGTTTTTATATCACTCGTTTTAGGTGTTTACTAATATGAGAAACTATAAGCACAACTACATACGACACTTCAATTCAACAAAAAGGATATATGTAGTAAGTAGAATATAGATGAATATATAGTTTAGTCCATCAAGAGTCAAATTGTTGAACAGTACGATTAAAAACTGATGTGAGTAAGAGGCATAAAATGTTTTATATATACATATATTTTTTTAATTAGGCACCATAATAATTTTTGACGCAAAAAGAAATCCAAATAAGAAAATGAAAAAATGCATAACAGTATCCTGTTGTCCGCGATATTGTGATTCTTAACAATGGACTTTTTATTTATTGCTTTTTATTAAACGACATCAAACAGAAGGTTTTCAATTTTATTGATTTATTTTTTTGTTGGGCAATATCTTTGTAAATTGAGAAGAAATTTTGACGATGCGTTTTTTAGTCGAACGAGTTTATTGCCATAATAATTATGTACAAATTTTGGTAATTTTGCTGCAAAACCAGTTATTTTGGTTTAAAAAGTAAATCTTGTATCGATTTTCATAAAAATTCTATGGGACTAATTTATAATATTTCAGATAAAAAAAATCCAAATTAAGTAGTTTACAATTCATAGTATGAGGTAACAAACATAAAAAGCTAAATTGAGAATCTTCTTCTTTTTGAAGCCGGTTAACAAAGCACACACAAAGATTTTAAATAATAACATATAATAAAAAAATAAAATGTTTACCGAAAACGAAATTCTAGAGAGCTTTTTAAGCTCGTGGAATAATTATTGGCTTAAATGGGAGCCGCGCGATTTTGTTAAATAAAACTTTAAATCGTAGGTGAATTTCTGTTCCCTATTGACCGAATATTTGCATTATAGCTTTATCAGAAGCATTGACAACTAAATAGTTGAGCATCGTCTAGATAAGAACAGATTATATGCTCGTGTATCCACTTGTTTTAAGTTTATTTGAATTTAAAACATTTACAATCGTAATTATAGAACATACTGTCCAACTTCCATATGGAGACTGAGAAGTCCGAATCTATAGAATTGGTTTGTATTATAAAAGGAATTCGTCTAAAGCAAACCTTAAATCTCTTTTCATTGAACGTGATCACGTCGCCATCAGATACTCTGGAATTAATTTATTTGGTAACGATTCAGTATCTACGTAAGAGGATTAAAAATTTAATCGATTCATTTATTTGGCCTATATTCGAACTGAATTGCTTTCTAAGATAATGTTAAGTATAATATATTTTAATGGAAAAGTATTTAGAATATATATAATTACGGAGGTATGATTCTAGAATTTTCATTATTACTATCTTATTCTAGTAATTATCTATACAATTATGTCAGTCATCATTATAAAGTATCTGCCAAATAAGTACATATTTTGATATCCAAAAAAAAACAAGTTTTTATTGTTACAAAATTTATATGGGATATAGGAGAAAGTGAAACTTGTCGATTGTAAAGAGATCAAAATCGATTAACAATTGGAAAAAAAAATATAGTGTGATAAATAAAAAAAATGCTATTATTTAAAAATGAATAACGAATTGTATTCTTTTTTAATCAACTTATTTAAATGTGTAAAACTTTAAAAGAATTTTTATTTGTATTTGACAATAATATATATACTGATGATAAGCCTCGCTAATAGTAATTTGTGAGTTTACGAGCTCCAACCAAAAGTATCGCGCTCCATTCAAAGCTTCAAATGGAATACATTTGAATGAAGAAAGAAACAGCGATTACGTTGATTATTCTTTCTGTTACAATACACACGCCAGATTGCGTCCTCATCGTACTTTTGTATTATATTATACTGAGAAGGATTAAGACATAAATATTTATTGAACTGATGATCTCAATGTTCATGTACTGTATTTTCTTTTGATTGTATAAAGAAAGATTCATTTCTAGATAATACTATATATACCCAACACAAATAACCTTTTTAGGATATTTCCCTGAAACGTATCCAATGTCTATAACTCGGAGACCTGAATATAATATTTTATGCTAATATAAAATATAATATTTTAGATCTAGTAGTTTACTATCCCAATCCGAAAGAAAAACCCCAATTTCAATGTAAGCGACACCAAAATTTTATTTTATATGTTATAATATACTCGTAAGTACCTAGTTGATAAAGGATCAAGAGAGATAATATCACTAAATTCGAGCCCCACCTTTACTAGACAAAGAGGCGTTGACAACAAATCATAATAAACATGTTTCAATCTTATAATAAAACACATAAATTCAATGACATTTCGCAGTCAAAATGTTGTTCTATAAAATAGTAAATCGAGGTAATGCACACGGTTGAAACATTCATGATGATTACATCCATAAATTTCCCAGCTACCTACGTAAATGGTTGATTTATGACACCCGCACAGAGGTAATGTGTCGCAGTATTTTGCGACTACATATCTACACATTCTACCTCTCAAGCGTTTATAATCGAGTTGTGCGGAATTTATTCAACACAGGTTATTGCCCTTCTTCGGCATACGAGTATTTTTACATTTATTAATTTTAGATATAAAAAATATTTTTGTAATTTTTACAGAATAGATGCACTATGATTAAAAAGTCCATTTGAAGAAATTTAATATTATTCATTTTTTTAAAAAAAGCATTTAAAAAAAGCATGGCCCAAGATAAAAGATGCGTACTAAAGATTTTTGTTTTTGATGAAATTTATATATATTGTATATAACTACTAAAATAAATACCAGAAACAAAAATGGTATCAAATGATCAAAACAGATACTGAAACTACATTTACTTAATATATAAATTTTTAGCATCAAAATAATCTTGAAAGTTTATATAAAACTGTGGATAATCGATTCAGATTTTCATATATTTTAAAAATAAACGTTTAAATAAATTTGAAAATTGATAAATAACAAAAAAAGTATTTTCAAAAGGGTTTAGAGCGTGGGAGGTAAAGAACAAGAGAAAATATCGTCACGAATGCAACAGATACAGAGATTCTTGATATTTGTCGTTGATATAATTGTAATTCAATTTCGAAGAGCACGTTCGAATCCAATGTAGCAATAAAGAAGCTATTACAGTTTTGGAATTGATTAAAGTTTGATAATTATTTTTGTATGATGACATTGAAGGAAATATAAATTAATAAACAGAATGTTTGATGTCTATTATAGTGAATCATATAATGCACAGTATTAATTTTCTATGTAAAATTGCTACCTGTATGGCGAAAAAATGATCATAATAATTGAGTTGAAGACTGAAAACCCGAAACAAGTATTTAGTAGTCGGGATCGACGTGGGTAATTTATCAAGGTAAGTTCACCTGTAACTGTAAAAATTCAAACTGAAAATAGAAAATTGGATTTATTAGTAATATTACACGCCACAATAGTAAGACTTAGAAATACCACATTAAATAATTGCAGTGAGAACAAATAGATGCCTGATTTAGTTTAAGCTGTTCAAAAATATACCTTACTTACACTACAGTAACGATGGTAGTCTGTATATCTATATTAATTAGATTTGACAGCTTGAAGTCGTAGATTAATCCCTGATCGACCGAAAACAACACAGTATGTTTAGAGATCGTCAATCCCCACGTGGCAAACGTGATTGTAATATACAATTATTTAAGATTGGGTTTCACAAAAATAAATTTTAAATGTAGCAAAATCAGTTACTTTTGTATAAAAAAGTAAACGACTGGACCGATTTTGTTAATATTTCTATGACACCAATCTGAAAGTACATCTTTTTAGATAAAATTGATCGATTTATAACTAACGGAGATAATAAAATATAAACGAATTTGATAATCTTCTTCTTTTTTTTAAATTAGCTGATAATTATTATATTATGTCAAATAGTTGCGATTTATTTGATACAACTTATCAGATCAAAAATAGGCATTGATAAAAATATAAAAAAAAACTAACATATTGTGGAAAATTTTATAATAACATTGCAATAAGAATACACATGAAGAAAAGGAAATCCAAGTAAATGTTTGGTATAAATTTGTTTGTGATTTAAAAAACAATAGGGATTTTCTATGATTATTGAATTTATATTATGCATATTTATATTATGTTTATAGTAGAAACAGCTAATATAATAAATAAGTACATGAATATATTTTTAAGTATTTATAAAAAGACAATTTTTAATTTTATTAGGCTGTTGATTTCAGTGCAGATTAAGTTGTTGTTAAAATTGGTACAAACTAAACTTTATTGTTCATTCGATTCTTGGAGACACAAGAGATTCATGATAATATGTTGCTTAATCTTCAATAATTTTATTCAATATCCTGATTATTTCAGATGCTATATCGATATTTTCATTAGTTTCTTTATAATTTTACTTTAGTAATAGCCTCTTAATCTTAGTAAATATGTGAATCTTGTTTATTTTAGCTCGAGCTTTTTGCATTGCTTATTAGCATTTGTGCCTCTTAAATAAATGTATTTTTATTTTCTTTGATAATATAAACGTATATTTTATTTCTGTGAATGTTGATGGAGACTTTTATTTTTGTTTGGGTATAATAAATATGTAAGTCTCTATTTTGTAAGTAGTATTATTGAATTAGTATATTGAATTCTTCGAAAATTTGAGCAGTTTTGAATAATTTAATTCCGATTAAAATTTAGCTGTAGAAGATTATTTGGGCTTTAAAATAAAGTAAAATATAAAGTAATATAGTGTTATACACAAAACATTTACGAGTTTAACGTATCAAGCTTTCACCTTATGAATGGGAGTTCCCCAGAAATCGTTGAGGAAGATATTGGATATAGGTGTTTGTGGTCGTAAGTCTCTGTTCTCCTTTATAGCACTGATATCATCAAAAACGAATCCACAGTATAAGCAGTTGTGGTATACTATGATGCAGGCGAGTATTAGCACAGCGCCAAGTCCACGACGTGGTGGCTCTGGCATATCTTCTGCTATCTGACTCTGAGCACCCAGACGTCGTCTACTTCGTCCGGTTCTCGTTCGAACCGCTGAAACTACTCCTCCAAACCTACACACGCCACTCACGCGGTCCATCGTGAATCACAACAGCATTCTAATTCATCTATTAAAAACACAACACTGTATTAATCTTTTTGCTCCTAATAATCAGCATTGTCTTTGATGCAGAAATGTCCTAAGCCACCTGGAATGTTTTATCAGTAGCTAGCAAAAACACGATCACGAAAACCAGGACTATAAATTTGCTTTACAAAATCAGAGAGCAAAAACTGTTAATATTGAGGAATTGCACTACGGTACACTAAAAATGTAACTTTGCCACAAATGTCCAGGTTACAACGGGTCACATGTCACTATTTTTTTTCGAAATCATTTCATTTGACATTTATGTGCTTGTATTAATACAACACGCACAGACACACCCGCTCACTGGGCATAGTCGCCGATGACTGCCGAAATGCGACGAGCGAATGCCGCGTCAAGTCACGTGACCAGTCGTTTTACTGCGGGTCGTTTTGAGATGGCGCATGCGTGTATGTGAGGTTAGCTGGCGGCAAAATATTTTGTCACACGGGGTATATTAAATGAATTATTACGTTACGAAACTCTCATTAACGTTTTTAAATAAAGTCATTAAAGCTAGTTCAGAGAAACGTTAAAAAATTATAATAATATTTTACTGTCTAAAAAATGTAGATAACATATTTAATGTATTTCTCAACTTTTTTAACTTACTTGAAGAGAACAGCGTTTATCATTAAAGAATTTGTAGTTTTAATTGGTGTTACAAAAAAAAAAAAAAAAAAACTAAACTAGTGTTAAAGAACACTCAATAAATATTTCAATAGCAGATGATTTGAGTGCAGGGGCATATTATCGCAATTTGATTACCCCCCGTGTGTAAAGGCGCATGCCCGGGCTTACGGGATGCGAGGGGAATGGGGAGGGTAGGAGAGGGCTGGAGAATGTTGATGACGATATTTTGTCGGGTTCAGGCAAGACTGAGACGGAGTCGTCAAACCGTCTGGGATACCGACTACGCCGCCCCTTTTATCTACATTTAGTAGATTTTTATAAGATTTTTTTATTATATTATTTTATTATCTATCTAGTTATATATGTATATATATATTTGTATTTGTATATTATAATCATCATTTTATGTTATATATGTATATATTATTTACTTTATATAGGTGTATATTATTAGTTCTTATTTTCTGTACCTTTCCCAATAATGAAGTACCGCGTTCGTAATTCACTGTTCATACTAAAGGTTGACTGGTAGAGAATGCTACTAGCATTAAGTCCGCGTTTTGTACCATTGTTTCTTTTGGTCAATAAAGTTATTTAAATAAATTAGTTTTTTGGTTTATTAGAACTTAATATGCAAGCAAGTAGTCTGACGTCATATCCATATATTACTAGCTTTTATCCGCGACTTCGTCTGTGTGATCGGGATATCTTTACTGATGAGGATGAAAGTAAACCTATATACTCCTCCATCTCATATAGTACGAATATGCTAAATTTTATAGTGATTGGTCAAGCCGTTAAGGCGTCATAAAGAAACAAACTCACACATTATATATCTGTCTAATATAAGATCTTTATAAGTTTTAATAATAATAATGTTATAATATTATATTTTTTTAATAAATAAACTATTTATTGACGTGTGTAAATATATATCTAAAAAAAAATGTATTTATTTTAAAAACGTTATTATTTCGACACTTTTAAACAAAAAAAAGTATACTAAAAAAAAGCTTTGACTCAGAGAAGATGTTATGTATTAAAAACATTATTATTTCGACACCTTCAAGAATTTTATTTTAAACAATTATTATTTATTTGGAAAAATTATCAATTTTATTTGATAGAATATTCTTTAAGAATTTCGGTTTAGTGTTCAAATTTATATCGGTACTTGGACCTACAGGATATCAACTTTTGTAAATGTACTCCCACATTTGTATCTACATAGGTAATGTACGAGTAAGTTAGGCTTATTATTATAATACTGACTATTATTATAATATAAGCTTTTTATTATTACAATATAATTCGCCGTGTGGCCCTGGCATAGAATAGATCACCCCGTCCTTTCCCGTGGGTGTCATAAGAGTCGACAGTGTCGAGTCCCTCTTAAAATATCTGTAAAAGCCTAATTGTAATTGCCAACCCGCCTGCCAAGCGTGGCAACTACTGGCAAAACTCCCCTTATGGGGAAGGCTTATGTCCAGCAGTTTAAATAATAATGAAAAATAATAAAGATTTTTATACGGATTCTTCTGATTGCTGAAAGAACGATCTAGAAGATTTTACAAACAGATGTCGGTCTCAGACCAAATATATCCCATCTTAATATCAAACGGAAAACGTTATTCGTGGAATTGTATGATTTTTTTTCAATCGATGTAATAATTTGAACAGTTCTTCCTGGTCCTTTGTGGTCAGTCTGTTAAGTTGAAGAGTTTCGTTCAATCGTGTTAATTATTTCCTTTATGCGATAAAAAGATTCTTGAGAATATCTTTACAATAGATATGGAGTTCTTTTGAACGGAGAGAGCTTAGCTTTTGGCTTGGTAATTGATTACCTGTACCTACCCCGGAGTAAGTTTTTATAAAAAATACTTTAAAAAGATACGATTAAGTTTGAAATACAGTGTCATCCCTTTTAAGATGAAGCGTTTGCGTTTAATTAAATTATACAGCTGATATAGTGATCTATGATAGTAGTATTACTCAGAACAAAAAAAAAAATACAATTATTTTATATTCTGTGGATTGACCTGTAATCGATTTGATTACAATAATTCTTTAAGAACGTACCTACATGTTGATGTGTTATTCTCAACCGACTTCAAAAAGAAGGGGTTATTTTTTGTTTATTATGTCATAATTCCATCAGTTACAAACCGATTTGAAAAATTATTTTTTATCTGAAAAGATATAGTTACAGATTGGTTCTATAGAAATTTTATTAAAAATGAATTTGTACTTTAAATTTTAGACTAAAATAACTGGTTTTGTCAGAATTGAAGTCGGTTTTTTTTTGCGAGACACAATTTTCATTGATCTATTAATAATTTAAATAATAGATAGTAAACATAAAGTATTATTTATTTAGAAAAATTAATTACAAGTAACTGTTTTAAATTTCATGGTATTGACTATAATGTACCAAAGTCGTCTGGTCTGGAAAACTGTAGAAGATGAAGAATAAATTTTAGTTGATCAGGACTAATTTTCCACTTGTATTTTGACCCTCAAGTAGCTGTACCTGCCTGCCTTAGTCCTTAGGAAAGCACTATGGTATTAGTGTATCTCCGTGTATTGGTGCACTATACATATTTATAGGCGATGGCCAGTAATTTCTATTAGATAGGCTGTCAGCTTGTTTGTAATTTGTATAAAATAAAAATATATTTGCTTATTCTTGTAAGGTGATGTAAAAAATAATTAAATTCTGTTAAAAATTACAAATGTTTTTAAACATTATCATAATCAATAAATATCATACAATTTTCTGTCTGTTAATAAAATATATGTTATTTTTTTACATTTAGGTCTCTTCGAGAATTTTGGGCGTGTTATGTATCTTATAACCATAAAATGTGTATTGCCTTAGGTTTGGATAACACGTTCGAGAGTTCGAGCCTAACCCACTATCAATTACCAAATACTGTTAATTGAATTACATTTTGTGATATTTAATGCATTACTATAGTCTAAACATTTTATTCTATTTTTTTTATTATTATTATTGATATAAATAGAATGATAACTTCGTCTAAGGTGTTGGTTGACACTAGGAAGGTACTAGTGATGGATGACAGGTGAGGATGAAATTAGGTCAGTGGGCCCATTGTGACGAATTCATGGTGGTTTCTAACAGGGACCGTTTGAAGGTCAACCTGATAGGCTAGCAATGAGGCCGTCAGTCCTCTTTTTTACTTCCCTAGTGTTATTGTGTGTTTGAAGCACACTAACATTGTGTTAGATTATTTGTATACAGTGATGAGATGTTGTATATAAAAGTAAATGTATTATAATAAACAATGATGTGACAAGTAAATAAACAATTTTGCCGTGCCCTACATCTTGATTCAGTCCGATCCGACAACTTACGGGCGTATACGAGGTCTGTCAGGAAAGTTCGTATAAAAGTGTTCTGGAATGCGAGAAAGAGGAGTGGGGAGGCCAGGTAAGCGCAGGACCCCTTCCTTATGTCCCTAACAATGCTTCAGTTCTGGTCTGACCGCCGTGCGGTGCGAACTGGCTTGTCACGCCATCTGTGAAGTTACCTCTGTGTGTTTGAAGAGCAGCGCGTCGTAACATCGTGTTAAGAATGGCCGTGAAATTTTTGCCGATCTCAGAACAGTATGGGGATGATGTACAAGTGGCTAAAAAGATTAGAGAGGGCCGAGAAAGAGTTCGATGTTGTATCATAAGACAGTATGGAAAATGTATTATAAAGCTAAACAAGGGGCGTGATGACAATGCCCCTGCCCACAAGTTTTTGAGTAAAAATTCCATTACGGTGAAACACCCCCCCTATTTTTGGCCCCGTGTGACTTCTTCTTGTTCCCAAAAACTAAATTGGTACTTCGGGGGCGGCATAAAAAAAGCTGATTCAGTCAACCAGATTCGACAACTTGGCACAAGTGCATTATGTCACAGGGGGAGTTTGATAAAATTGATTTAATAATGTAAAATAAAATTTTTAAAAAACTGCAACGCTACTAGGGTGGGGTCCTCGACAGTGAGGTACGGATTTGAATGTTTTGTTCTCTTATTTCAATTGTATTTTTTATTACTCGATGTATTAGTCAGTTAGTCTTAGATTATGTTAATATTTTATTACCGAAAGGGTATTATATTAGTTGGTCTTGTAGAAAAATGTTTTGTATATTTTTGCTGAATGAAACAATGATTTTAATTTCAAAGATTAATCCGTTATTTTTTTCATCATACGTTATTTGTTTTAGTAATATTCAGGAGGTGTAATAGAAGTACAACGTGCCCCCAACCCACAGTACTTCGTTAATAAATCACACTTTATTTATTTAAATTTCAATTTAAATCGTCTTTATTCAAACAGTCTTGTTTACGAGCACTTTTAAATCGTAATTTTTTTACGAATGCAGGGTTTGGATAGTTGACATCTGTTAAGAAGAGTCCGCAAGAAATTCAACAGTTATTTTTTTAAATCTCTGTTAACATTATGTGTATTTGGTTACTGTGTCTAAAATAACAAGGTCGTTAGAAGCCCATGCATGATCGACTAACACCATGCACATTTGTCATTCAAGTAATCGTTTAGTATGTTTGTTCAATAATTATTTTAATAACAATTTCAAACTTATTAAAAGGCAGGTCCAAAATATCCTTCAGTATTTTATTATAACATTTAATGCTCATTCTCATAAAATACCTGTTAATTTTTCCTAAACCATACTTTTACCATTACGAAAAC